TTGCTTCTCCACATCTCTAAGGCAGCGTTTAGCCTTGGTTCTGCCAATGCCTCTATAGACTGCAGCTCTGAGTCTGACACACCACTTGTCTGTAAGCTGTAGGAAAAGGCATTTCTTTATGACTCAGATGTATGTTTGAGGATGGAATAAGACACAGTAATAACATTTTTTTGCCATCCTATATCCACACAAAACTACAATGCTTAATAAAAGCAGTGGTTTGTAGATGTAACCAACCGTCTTATTAAATAAGAAACACAGAACCAATGTAAAAGAGAAAGCCAAGAGGTCAGAGCTATTAGAGCCATAGCAAGAGTGTGGCGGTGGTAGCACATGCCTTTAATCCCAACACTTGGTAGACAGAGCTAGGTAGATCTCTATGTGTTCAGGGATACAGCCAGCATTGGAGACACACGCCTTTAAGACCTGGGGGGCTGTACATACAGACAGTGACGAGGCAGTCACGTGTTTGGGTTTACAACCAATGAGAAGGCAAAACAAAAGACTATGAAACGACTTACACACAGGAAATAGCTCTCTTTCGGGAAGCTAGGAGCTCACAGGAGGAAGGGTAAGATTTTAGCTCTGAGCTCTGACCTCTTGGCTTTCTCTTTTACATTGGTTCTGTGTTTCTTATTTAATAAGACGGTTGGTTACATCTACAACCTCAATTAAATGTTTTCCTTTATAAGAGTTGCCGTAGTTATGGCATCTCTTCACAGCAATAGAAACCCTAACTAAGACACTGCCAAAGAATAAACATAAGAGAACAAAATGAGGAAATGCTCAACTCATTGATTCAAAGGCAGGGGCATCCAGCACGTTCTCAAAAGGAAATGAATACCATGTGGTTCTGTTTATGTGAGCCACCCATGATAGGCAAATGCATAGGGCCAGAGCTGATGGGTGCCTGTGGGCTCTGAAGGAGGAAGGGGAGGAATAAAGGCCACAGAGCAGGCACTTCTGGAGAGGGTGACAGTGTTCTGGGATTATATAAAGGTGACAGGTGTACTGTGGGCATTCTAAAACCCATTGAAAATGGTCAAAAAGTTGGATTTTATATTATGTGACTTCTTTTTAAGAAAAAAAGTGGCAAGCAATACCAGCTGATCTGTGGTGAAGGCCTGTCAAAGGGTTAATGGAGGATGACTCCGAGAGCTTTTTGGAAAGCAGTCTGGTGGTTCACTGAAGCCACACATTTCTAGGGATGGGGTCTGTGGGAACTATGCATGACATAAATAGACTGATGTGCAAAAAGATTCACTGCAATCTTGTTTAAGGTTCCAGAACTTCAGAGGAGGGGACTTATGTGTTCAAGGGGGAAGGTAAGAAAACTGTGGAGTACTGTGCAGACACTGAGGTGATCAATAGGGATTTGTCTTGCTGGAGACAGGGCACGTGATGCAAGAGAAAATGTAAGACTCAGAATGAGTAGAAAGCAATTCTAACTTTAAAAGTGGGTCTGTGGGCACATGCCCACGCAAACTCATTGTGCTCTACCAACCAGCCTGTTGGGGAATATTCCTTTACACTGTGTGAAGATGTGTCACTGTGATTGGTTCAATAAAGAGCTGAATGGCCAATAGCTAGGCAGGAGGGATAGGCAGGATTTCTGGGGAGAGAGAGGAAGAGGAGGAGGAATCTAGACATGTGAATTACTCCAGGGAGATGCCAACAAGACAGGGAGGGAGTCAGACATACAGAATAAAAGAAAAAATGAAAAGCCACATGGTAAAATGTAGATTAGTAAAAGCAGGTTAATATAAGTTATAAGAGCAAGTTTGGGACAAGCCTAAGCTAAGGCCGAGCTTTCACAGTTAATAAGTCTCCGTGTTGTTATTTGTGAGCTGGCGGCCCATAGAAAAATATGACTTCCTCAGCCTGTGCCTCAGCCCTCATTTGTAGAAGGATAATCACAGTCACTAACACACAGTTGTGAAGACGACACCATTCCTGTGAGAAATACTGGCAGACAGATGGGGCTCCACATGCAGGAATTCTTATCTAACTGGTAAAATGATGGGGAAATCATAATTTTCTTCTTTTTAGCTATTCTTCTTCTTCTAAAGTTCTAACAAAGAAGGGGTTTGAGTTTTCTAACCAGAATGAAAACTCAGGGTTTTTTGTTTTTTGTTTTAACTGGGAAAACATTTTGTACAGGAGGTTGGGAAGCAGAAATCTAACGTACTTGAGGCTCCAACCCCTTTAGGAATATGTGCAGAGATGGATGCAGCAATCTTGTCGTGTAACAGCCAGGTCAACCTGCTGTATAACAACCACCGTCCCTCTGTCCTGTGTGACAACCACCGTCCCTCTGTCCTG